CTGCAAATGTCATTTTACTACGTCTTCAAATAAGACATATTATAAATTAGCAAAACGTAGTGTAGCAGCTATGAGTAAAACCAAAACCTAGAACAACAGGGCGCGACTTGCGCGAAAAGCGCCATAGAAGCCCAAGATCTATATGCGAGAATAGCAGTCTCTTGCGTCTTATGTCGCTCTCGCGCAGTCGCGCCCTTTCATGCTAGCCCTACTGTTTGATTGCAAAGGAACTCGTACAAGGAGACAAGGCGGCTCACCTATCCACCTCACAAAGCCGGAGAGGAGCGCCAAGACGGCGCAGAGCTCCCAGACGTAGGGCTCCAGCTCGGCATGCAGCTCTTGGTTCTTGGCGGCCGCCAGGCGGCGCGCGAGGCGGCGCGCCCGCGACATCCACCACGCGAAGCGCCCGCGCCGCCGGCGCCACTCGCTGGTCTACCGACAACGAATGGTACACATACTCTGCACTACTAAAAGCGGTTACAAACGGCTACTTTTAGCAGCGATGCAAACGCGATGCAGTTACATCGCTATACTTGGGATTTAAAGGCGATTGCATCGATGCAATCGTCTATAAATCGCAAGTGTAGCGATGGAATCGCGCGTTTCACGAACGCGCGTTTGCATCGCTGCTAAAAGTCGCCGTGTGTAATCACTCTAAGGGCCAGCCCAAACCGGCAGATGGGAAGGCAGAGTACATTCAATTTATCAATGTATATTTTACACGTCAACCCATTTATACGTCAAAAAAATGACGCCTTTTCAAGTCCAGAAATATCGTGACATATTATGATCAATCATCCCTGCCTTTCTCACCTCAGGTTTATTTCCTCTAGGCAGCATACTAGACGCGTGTGTGATCAACCAATTGAAATCGTGCAGGAGGCGCAGTCCTCGTGACCCATGCTCGAACGGCAGATAGAATAGATCGCAAAGTAACAGCAGATCATCTGCTGTTAGTGCGTTCGCGTCTATGGTTGGTTCTTCTACGGGCCTGGAAGTAATTAATTAATCACTAGGGATTGTTACAAGATTCGTCCAAAGTTTTTTTTACTTTCATAATATCAAGTGACAGGACGATCAAATCTGATTGTAAGTTACACGCCTGTCCATAACAGTTGCAGTGCCACTCAGTGCTAACCTCTGATCTTTGCGATTTGAAAATAGCAAAGATCTAAGGGGCTCTGCCACTGCGCCTGTCTCCCTGAGACATAAGGTGACAAGTCCCATGTGCCTTCTGTCTGATCTTGAAGTCTGATCACATCTTATTTAAATAAGAATACCATCAGAATTATTTTATAATAACTTAAATATTAATAATTACTTTCAATTTATACAGTGTTTTTTTTACATAGGACAGTATGGTGGAATTCGAAACCATAGAAGATACAACGAAACTGTCTTCGGAACCAGTAAGTCTTTTTATGTGAAAACACTTTTGGCATAATACAATTTTTAGTCAAGCGTGATTTGTCCATAAAAATTAATGAATTCGATATTTTTTTTTAATGCTGATCGACTCAGTCTCACGAAAGAATCATTTCATTGTATAGGACGAAAAAATCGGGACAGCAGACGTTGGTCAAATTTCTAAAAATGTTTTTCATAGAAAATTAATAAAATTGACTAATTATTTAATGCTAATAGACTCAGTTTCTTTTAAGGTTGATTTAATTTTTTGGGACGAAAAAAAATCAGGACAGCAGAATTTGATGAAATTTAATAAAATGACTTTTCATACAAAATATTCTCTGTAGTTTCACCAGCACCTTTTAAAACCGGAAAGCAGTAATGCTGACGTAACTGTTTGGCGACAGAAACAGGCATGGTCTGGTTTTTACAAGGAATGTTAAAATTTTATAGCAATTTCATACTACGCATGAGATTCAGAAGTGACATTAACTATTCTGATTGGATAATAATAGAAAAAATATATAATTCGACGCTGAAAAGGAAAAACTTGTAATGTACATTTGGAAAATATTACCGGAGACCGACTTAAAGTATGTTTTAAGGATAAAAAGAAAACTCTAACTTCATTTGTTATGTCGAAAAGCTGAAACTTTCTAGTTTTATATAACAAATAACATCAGTTACGATTATTTTATTTTTTTTAAATTACTTTAAATCGCTCTCCAGTTATATGTTCCAAATACACGTTAGACGTTTTACCTTTTCAGGGTCGATATCTACTTACTCATCAGGTACTTCCGTCGGTTCTATAGATTCCACCATCATATCAGTACTCAAGGGGCTATTGCTGGGCTCTACCTGCATCGAACAACCACCCTGTCGCAACAAAAAAGTTTTCTACGTTACTGTTAAAAATCCGGAGCTATGCAAGTTTTGGAGAAGTTGACGATAGCATCGTTTGTCTATTTCTTTTTAATATTATATTGGACCATGTTTCTCGCTCATTTGTCCGTTACTTTAATTAAAGACTTCCTTAAGACTTTAGATATAACGTTAATACTCGGTTATTAATGTTATATCTAATTAATTATAAATAATTAGAGACATAGCATATGAAATTGATAATTTTTAAATTAGTAATTGTAGTGCCCTTATAGGGTTCACGTGCTAGAATTTTTTACTTAATTTAATGTAACTATTTTGTCAATTCACAAAATACAATGAATAAATGTATTATGAATGTACTTAACTAATCAATACTAATTTACCTTAACCGTTTAGGCATAAGGTTAATATTTGAACTGTAGTTTTCCGAACTAAAAAGTTTCTCAATAATCTTCGCCTGTTTCCGCACAACTCAAATGATTTAAAAACTTTGTGTTTAGAAAATGGTATAGTGGTCTTTTTCAAAACATATATTTGAAAGTAGGTTCACCAAGTACGTAATCAACACAATAAATTTCAGAAATAATTTAAGATACCTGCAATAAAGTTGATCGTAGAACACAACACAGTGGGATAATATTCAGGTTAATTATTTGTAGTAGTGGGAATTTTTAGTATTTAAATATTGTAGAATATTATCACGAAGTATATTATTCAATATGCCACTGTATTATCATGAAATATTAAATAATATTAATTATTATATTAATATTTAATAATATTTCAGGATACTCGAATACTTAAATAATAAAAATTGTAGTATCATGTCAGAAGTCCACGTCACGCTTTCCACAGTCCTATAAGTTACTCTCGCAATACATTGGCTTAATGGTCTTCGAGACAAACATTTATTTCAAGAATAGTATTTAATAACTGTACACCTACCTCGCTCATGACGTCGTTCATGGCAACATCTGAGTCCGTCACGGCGGTGGAGGGGGGATCTACGTCGAGGGGCTCGACTCCCACTTCCGGTATGGAGAGTCGGTTTGGACTTAACGTTTGGGGTGTGTCTGTGTATAAACGGGTGTATTAATTCTTATTATTTTCAATAAAATCGAACTTTGCAGTGAACATAAATTATGTAGGCAATTAATGTTTGCTCTATGACATATCCTATTCAAATTGTCCCGAAAGAGAGAAGATATGTCGTAACTTTTTTTTAGATTCCGACCTCAAATGCTCATGGAATTACATCTATTTGCCAAATTTTATTGAAATCGGTTACCGGAAAGTGCGCGACTCCGGATTCATCCCCAGTTTGCCACCCGTAGATGTGGAATATTTTCATCAAATTTAAATGGAACCAACACTGAGGTACCCTCATTCCAACAAAAAAAGTAACAAATAACATACATACATACAAAAAAAAAGTCGAATTGAGTACCTCCTCATAAAAAGTTCATTTCACAGTTAAATAGGGTCATTGTTCAGGGTTTTTCATACTAATATATTACAGTAAAGCACACGAGTGCTTACATTTTTGACCAACTCTCGCGTGTCTTCTTCTTATCATACAGGACAATTTCTTACAAACTTAAACCTTAAGCACTTATTGACAAAACAAGACAATATAATTTTATTTATTTCTCTCAATACAAATAATACAAAGGAGTTTTGTACATAAATATAGATAATAACAAGGTTTAAGTGGGAGACTAGTGTCTCAACATGGCAAAACCTGTGTTATGGGTTATGAAACACGATACTGAAAATTATTTCTTGTCTCTCTAATTATTTAGTTGTTCTTAAGTTTTTTTTTCATAGCTCTGCACTAGGGAAACCCTGTATCGCGGCTGCCATGGACACACACATAGACAACCACAAATTACACCCAAACTCACGAGAGAAATAAACGTAGGTCATAAAAATATTTCTCCCGGCACGAGAATCGAACCCAGGACCCCTTGCATACAGCATAGTAACCGTTCGGCCACGGAGGCAGCTAAGTAAATGATTATCACTAATTTTCAGATTTCTTATCACGGTATGATTTATTTTCGCGATATGTTGGATCGCGAACATTATTTGTATACAAAATATTACTTCTTCTTGTGACTGCTAGTGGCGCTGTACATTTTACAATGTAATATTGTCGAATAGTTCACGCGGTCACTAGTGACAACTGTTATTATAAGCTCATTCGTGAGTAGGGTAGCACAACGACGTTCAAAAACATTAGCTCACCACCAACGCTCATATCGCCGTTCTGCTGGAGCTCGGACGTCGGTTCTACGTCGTCCACGATGATGTTATCGTTGTCCTCGGTTTTTTTCTTAATATCTTCTATGAAGCTTTCACTCTCTAATACGCTGTCGTTCGCCACACTCGTGTTCTCTATCATTTCACTTTGATTCTCACCTAAGACAAATACATAAATAAACAAATAAATAATATATATTAGTATACTTACTTATTAGTACCTAAAGAACTTGTGTTATGGCAACCGGGAACAACGAGGGCATCAAAAACACTCCGGCCCTGTACCCTCGATCTCCGTCCAAAATAATTACTGTCAAATAAGTAATACTCCACCACATTAAAGACGCACGATGCGAATGAAGCTTCATACTTGACAATTTCTTTTGATTTGACCGAGTATTACTTATTTGATAGTAATTGTTTCGAACAGATTGCGAACGGAGAACGAGAGTAGACTCCCAGACCCGAGACAACATAGAAAAAATAGTTTTTCTGGTGAGACTTTGTAAACCGGCGTGCAAGCCACGCGACCACGGCAGTCGTCAATACATTTTTTGGAGATTAAAAATAATTATGAAATGTGTATAAAGATTAATCGTAAATACATATTTTTTTTTTTTAATAATAATAACGCTCACACTCAACATAGCCCCGCACTAGGGAAACCCTGTGTCGCGGGTGCCATGGACACACACATAGACAACCACAAATTACACCCAAACTCACGAGAGAAACAAATGTAGGCCATACAAATATTTCTCCCAGCCCAGGAATCGAACCTGGGACCTCTGCGTGGCAGTCCGGCATGGTAACCGTTCGGCCACGGAGGCAGTTAAATATTGGATAGACTATTTAAACTACAAGTTCACTATGTATAGCAGTTAACTAGGTTAACTACTCAATAGTTAAATATTAGCTATCGCAGCAGATTTGCATATATAATAAATACACTAGACAAATATTTAGACTATCCATCGCTCAATTATTTTAGAGGACTCGATCTGTTGCTCAGTTGGTAAGACCGGTGGCCCCAGTTTGGCAACAGACGCTGGTTCGAGTTCAGTCAGATCGATTTTTTCTTTGTGTTGTTCGATCTTTGTATCAATAATAATGACAAACTAGTGGAGGATTTTCATAACAAATATATTTTCTCACACACGTTCGGAAATGTTGCATTTCTTTCAAAAAACGAACACGGAAAGTTTGTCATTTATAGACCGTGCGACTTCTTCCCGACCAAGGTCTCCAAAGTAAGTATGAAAAACCATTACTGTTCACTTCTCTAAACTTAAAAAAAAAATGGGGGTAACATTTAAACTTAAGTTTTTGGTATATTTTCGGTTTTTCGTCTTTTTGTATTTTGGTCGCGAAAATGAGAGCTAGTGAGAAGAGCGATAACGAAAATGCAGTAATAGATAAACATTCAAACACATCATCAGAAGTTCAGCAGACTATTATTAATATGCCTGGAAAAAAAATAACACTTTCTTTTTCAATTGTCCTAACGCGTCAAATATTACTTTTAATTATTATTTTTTTTTACTTTGTCTATTTCCTCACATTGTTTGAGAAAAATACTATACATGCCTCGGCGGGAACGGGGATTGCTCGACTCGCATTAATCGCTGGTGCTTGTCCATGTAACTCATACTCGTCCAGCAATCCCTTCCTTCCCGGCCTCTGTAATAATGTACAGTCAACAGCACATCAAGCTACACATTGACGTATCTTGTTTCGTTGCAGTGGAGGCGACTTTCGAAACTGTGTAGTCTGATGTGCTGTTGTCCGTACTAAACATTGCAATATACAAATAATTCACTCACTCATATCTCCCTGGTTGTCACCCATTTCAGCATGGTTTTCGGCCATTTCGCTTTGGTTCTCGACCATATCGGTCTGGTTCTCGCTTTTCTCCATAACTTCGGCCTTTTCATTATTCTCTTCAAGCGCTTTTAACCCCAGTATCGCGACAGGTAGAGTCGAAACTGGTATCTCCGGTGGCAACGCAATGTTTGAACTTGCGATGGGTATTATGGGGTTCGGTATTGATTCGTTAAGAATCACTTTTGTTGGTGAAACTAAGGAATTCATTACTGGGGTCGGAACCGGATTAAATGTTTCAATCAGTGATACCTGAAACTGACACTTATGTAAATATGTATTGAATACAGATTGAGTATTATATAGCTATCGAGTATATAACCAGAAACAGAGACAAAATAAGGGCTATCCATCCCTGGTAACTTATCACGCAAATAGATCTTATATCACTTTTAAATATCAACTCTCGCTAGCACTGAAATCACAAATTAGAAAGCTGAAATAGTACAGCGCCAACAACTGACCTCTGTGTCTCCGTATATTCCAAAAATATTCTGTATTCATTGTAATAAAGATAATATCTCTAACAATGGGAGCTGTTCCATTCGGTGGTATGGGAAAAACAGCAAAACATCGAATTACAAAACAAACGGAATCACATTTCATCGGTAATTAAATATGTAATTTTTCAATTTTCGTCTTTTACAGCAAAGCTCAAGTTGAACTTGTCGATTTGGAGTAAAACAATTGACAACACCCGTCAATTGTTTCGAATTCGGGCTAGTCAATCGGAGCGCAGTAATGATTTGGCAGAATAGTTTTCAAACAAATTAAATCACATTTCGCTCTATTTCTGGTGATATACTCGATGTCTGTAGCAATGTCGCGTAGAATCATCCTAATTATAATGTCGCTATTAGGGCTGGCACGTCAAGGCGCGACATGCGCATAAGCGACACAAAGCGAGATATCTCTATGCAAAAATAACAATATCTCGCGCTTTATGTCGCTCTCGGGCAAGTCGCGCCCTGTCGTACTAGCCCTGCGGGACCAGTGTCAAAATGAAATGCAGTAAGGTATAATAAGCAACAATTATGTTTGTTAATTACTTATTATGTATAAGCTAAGACTTTAAAAGGTTTGTAAAAAATTAAATAAACTTTAAGGACACGAATTTCGAAAAAAAAACTGGGATTATTGACGTCACATGCAACTACTGGACCCCTAAAAACAGTTATGTAAATCGGGACGACAACACTACAGTAATAAACCCATTTGAACGCGTCCTAGAGACACACGGTGACCTTAACCTTTTTGGTATTTTTTTTAATTCATATAATTTTTTTACAAATATTGGATGACACACAGCAACGCGTTAAAGGCTCCGTGAGTGTGTAGCGATTGTATATACGTGAACGCGTGACGGTTTAAATCTCTCCGTAATATTTGTTGAATTGTAATAATGAGCAGTGGGAGCTCTTTGTGAAAGAGTTCGTCCAGGGTAGTGCTGCGCCCTTACATATTTCTGCACCCAAGCAGTAATGGCAACAACTGCGTTTCAGTTTTGAAGGGTAAGGGTGCTGGTGAAATTACAGGCACATGGGACTTGTCAACTTATGTCTCAGGATCACGGGCGCAGTAGCAGTGCCCCTCAGATCTTGCGAAATAAAAGCTCTGAATGGCACTGTAACTGTTATAGACAGGCATGTAGCTTCCCATCAGGCGCACGACTTGTTCGTCCCGTCACTTGATATTATAAAAAAAAATTTATAACCTAATGATCTATAAATAATGATTTATTTGTGCAAACAAAATACTAATATGGAATACACGTACAATCAATCGCTTGCAATAAGAATAATCGAATTGCAGGCAAATGTACCTACAATGGATAACGAAATAATTAGCCATACCCCAGTGGCGAGAATGGGCCTCGGTACATGACAGCACACATCGGCCAACGCCTGCAGCTGACTAGTGTTTACAGTGGGGATGGCAGGCGCGATCTCTGCTGTGCTGGTGGTGCTAGTGGTACTAGTGCTGGTCACTAGCGACATGCAAGTGTTCACTGACGGTAGTATCGGTATGATCGGCACTGGTGGCACTGGTGGACAACATATCAGTTACTTTATTAATATTTACCTAAAGCCCGAATTAGAAAATACATTGACTAGTTATTACAGACGTCTCTCTTGTCTATACCGTCTTTTGTGAAGACGTAGTAAAATGACATTTGTAGGGTTGCCAGTTTACATAAAATTTTAAATAGTTATGTAGTTGTTGTCGATAGTTTTATCGATAGATCTTGAAGGATAAAATTTTGTCCAAAATGTCTGAATTGTGAATGTTACGACGTGATAATGATTACTAATTGCGTTATTGCATTATTTATTCTTATTTTGACAGTTAGTTTACTACGATCGAAATCAATTTTTATTATTTTATACATTTCAACCAGAATAGCCACATTTGATTATCTATAGTGGAATTAAAATGAAAAACTTTAAAACGTATGTATGAACTTACAAAAATTAAAATGACTTATGCTCAGTAATTGTATGAACAATGGGTCGGGATTGATTCAAATGAAACGAGTTCGGCTATTTATTTCATAAGCGTGACCAATAAATATTCAGTCGTTAGTCGATAGAATATTTATCGACTGCAATCACTAGCTGCTCGCAAGCGGGCAACACTTTTGCAGAATAAACTCTGATTTTACTCCTTTTAAAAAAAAGACAGACTATAGTAGACACTGCAAAGCCATTCAGATAAGTAATCTCATTTGTCATAAGTGATCGTAATGACTTCCAGTGTAAGCAGATATCGCAGCTCTCTACATAATATAAGAACATAAAATGTCTATATTAACTATCAATATCAATAATTCAATAACTACCTATACGAAACAACGTTGTCAATTTGCGAGAACACCAACATATTTTTTATTGAACAAAAAAAATGCTTTCTGTATCTCTTTTGGGGCCAGTAACTTTTAGTTGACAAATGAGTCCTCGCAAATATACAAGTATTCTGAGGGTTCAGTACAGAATGTATTTGTATTATGACTAAAATGAAAAGCTACTAAACTATTTAACAGCTCTAAAATGAAATATTTTTTTCCTTTTCCTACTAATAACGAAGAAAGCGAATGCTTTCATTAAATGTAATATAATTTTAGTTCGCTTTACATGAGAAGATGTACTTTACCTGATCATATAAAAATATCCGAAAACAGGGTAAAATAAAAGTCTAAAACGAATTATTTAAGAACAAAATATGTAACTTAACTCAAAATTTTTATATGGAGATATTTGTCTTTGAGTACTGCAGAGAACCTGCTAAATTCTGGTTTGCGACTGAAGCCCTATAGTTATTAAATAAAAATATTAATAAAACATTGCCCAGCGGGGTTTAACGACATCGGGCGCTTGTCAACGTCGGATTTGTGTCAAATTTTTACCGCCTGTTCTTATTTAATCATTACAATATACTTTACTGGCAGATTCAAATGCCTCGCCCTAATGAACAAAAACAAAATATTAAGATTTGTGGTGAATTGAAGGTTCTTTGTAATTACCTGTAACTGACGGCTGTGGTTTTATAACAGGTGCCTGCGCCGCTTTTGGTATTGAAAACTCCGGCAGCCATTCGTTGATTGCATGTCTACAGTTTAAAAAAAGACATTGATTTACAGATTTCTTTTATTTTTTCATAGCCCCGCACTAGGGAAACCCTGTATCGCGGGTGCCATGGACACACACTTAGACAACCACAAATTGCACCCAAACTCACGAGATAAACAAATATAGGGCATACAAATATTTCTCCTGACCCGGAAATCGAACCCGGGATCTCTGCGTGGCAGTCCAGAATGGTAACCGTTCAGCCGCGGAGGCAGTTATATAATATGGATTGCCAGTACAATGCGTTTGGGATGCTGTTTCAAGTTACACCTTTTTGTGGCAAGTTCTCTGATGAAGGTGTCAACGCTTTCCATATTATTGTCAGAAAACGAAAAGCGTCGCTGCCAAATCACATGCGTCACTGCTTGAACGACATTCTGCGCACATTCGCTTTTAGGAAGGAGTTCCCAATGCTTAGGGCGGTGGATGCATAAGCACACTATTGGTAATTCGTAGCCATTTGCTCTGACGATGACGTTAACTGGGTAAATTCTAACACTAATGTAGCGAATCGCAGCTGTGGCTACAAATCTTTTTGTACATATATTTTATATAGTCTTTTTAAGTTTAGTTTTCTAATTAATTTCTAAATTGAAATGTGGTTGTTTTTGGCGCCTTTTCTTATTATTGACTATTGTTTCTGTTTTGGTTGATAGCTGTGCATTGTTTTCTAATAAACTGTAAGTACATTTACTTTGGTCTTACTTATCTTTGATAGGCATCCACTCGAACACCGTTGATACAGTCCGCTACAACTAGGTTTAAGTACATTTTACTAACAAATGTTATGGATTGTGAATGCCTGAAATAAATAATAATAATTATTAAACTAAGTCAAAATAAACATACCGTAACGCCTGTCGATGGTGATACACGTGCTTGCCGAGCGTTAGCGGCGTTTCATCCTCACAGACGCCTTGTTCACTCTCGCGTTCCAACTTTATATCCCACGAAACTGCCTCCACTGAAACATGGTTTTAATTATTAATCTGTTTCACAAACCACCCTTAATAATGGATGACTATAGGATTATAGCACATACATACTTCATGAGAACTATGTAAAATCGTCTTATTAAGTATTTTTTGTTATGAAGTTAAGTTACTAAATATGTTGATCCGACTTCTGATTTATTCTAAATTGGCGACGCTTTTTAATTATATTTACTTCTGCAGCAAAGATGTTGAAAGGTTGACAATTTGAAAAGTTCCTTACTATGTGCAGGCGCATCCAAACTGCAGCTGGCCCAATGTCCGAGCGTCCAGATCGGGATCATATTGGCATTGTACTCGCAGTTCGGGTTCGTTAACACTCCGCGCAATAGGGGAATCAATTCTGGTGATCGACCGCAGTATGGGCCTACATACAAAAAAATGATATAACTAGAAATTAATACCTTTGTTTGGAGAAAAAGTATGAGATTATATTTTAGAGTTACGTTTTAAATTAAGTTCATCTTTAAAAAGCCTTTTAAATATTTTTAGTTTAGTTTTTAGCAAGTACATTTTTAAGGAGAAATGTTGTTGCAAAATATGTCGTGGTTTTGTATCGTATCTGGAGAATAAACTTGTTGACTTACCCAGGAATATTCTCTTCTGATCATAGTCGTTCGCGTGCAGGTTGTCCCAGATAACAGGCGGACGACGCAGTACTTGCGTGATCTCTTCAATGCAATTCGTTGTCAGCGTCTTTGAAATCACTTTGGAGCCTGCAATTATCATTATTGAGTAGACCAATTCAGGTGTAATTTATCATCATCATCATTTCGGCTGAAATTAACCATGTTGAATCCGCTATTTATATTTTTAAATATTATTACAATAGGCGTTTATTTTTGTAATACGAGCACGTTACATGAACACAGCAGGTATGAAAGGAGAAAGAAAAAAAGCGAAGCTCAAAGTTGCCACGTACAAATTAATTTCATGTCTTTCTTATGATTCAGAACGAACAAGTCGTGCGCCTGATGGTAAGCTATACGCCTACCCATAACAGTTGCAGTGCCACTCAGAGCTTTAAATCGTAAAAATCTGAGGGGCACCGCCACTGCGTCCGTCAGCCTGAGACATAAGTTGACAAGTCCCATGTGCCTGTAATTTCGCCATTACTTAGTAGAGCTCCTTACGAACTCTTTCGTGTAAGGAGCTCTACAGCTACTAAAATTGTCTTTGACATATTTGTCAGTTTAATACATTGACTTACAATTATATGGACGTCGGGTCCGCGCTAAAAAGTGTCCGAACTTATCGGGCGTTAAAATCGTATACAGAGCGTCATTCACGCTTTAGTCTTCGTTTGTTCGACTGACAGCGAAGCAAACAAAATTAGACAGTACTGCGATGACATTACAATTTAAATTCAACGTTTTAGCTTTTTCATATTCCTTTACATGTCACTACGTTTAAAAAGGTTGACTTGAGACGTTTTTTTCGTGGTTTTTGTATTAGACCTGTCGTCCATTTATTTGTAAGTCAATGGTTTAATACTATAGTTTTATTTAGAAGAGCGGGTTCCATTTATATTAGATCTACCCAATCGACTCTCTGGTATTGATCCAGGCAATGTATGTTGATTTACATCTATATTATTAAACCGTATCTAGAAACTGTAACGTCGTCTAATAGATATATATGTCCCTTACTGTACATATAATTATATTATCCATTCCTTAAGCAGTTCTATAATGTATCCGTTCGAAAATGTTGGCCAAATAATTCGTTTCTCGGTCATTTTATTTCAGCAGACTTCAAAACAACAGACAATGTAAACGGCTGAGTCATAGCGTAAAACCACTTAACGAATACTATATCGGTAAAGTTACACCCGTGTAGCCTTGCGCAGTTCGTTAACGCGTATGTGTTTATTTCATTATGACTAAGGGCGGTGGGATATGGTATAATTGAGTAATACGTTTCCATTGACCTTTATATTCGTTGCGAATCTAAGACTATACAAATCTAGAAAATACTCCCCCCCCTGATACGAATAAGACGTAGTACGCAAACGCTGTTACGGTAAAGAGATCTGTGCTTAACAGTACAGATGGCATCAACTATTGCTTTGGTAATAAGGAAAAAGTTGTAGGCCGGGTACAACTAACAGTCTGAGAAAAAGCTTGTGCTATTTAAAAAATATTAAACAACTTGTTGACTAATAAAATGTACTTACAATACAGTGTCTGAATTTTCAAATGACCGATTTTAAATTCTTTGTCACAATTTTGACATTTGTATATTTATTTTGACAAACTTATTATTATTTTGACATGTAATTATCATTAAAATTTAACCATCTATCTAGCACCGTGTTTAAAATACTGCCCATGTAATATTATTGAAAAATAAACATGTTACATGTGGTTTGGTCTGTGGAAGTACATGGGAGTGAATGTACAAAATATACTTATAAATATATTTCTAATAATGTTTGGTCGGACTCAGTGAAACTATAATTATTTTATACAAGGCAGTTTCTATACAACCTGTGTTTCACGAATAATGAATTATGGACTTTTGTTTACATAATGGCACCTAACTATGTCGTCCACAAAGAAGTTTTATTGACATTTAATAGCCTGTATCATCCAGGACACTTCTAAGAAAGTTTACAAGCAATATGAGACGATGAATATTTACAAAAATACAAACCAGTCCACATAATATCTATCTGCTGGGAGAGCTTGGTTCCGAGTGTGTTCAGATACTCGGAGCTGTTGACTGCGGGAAGGGCGCGGGAGGCGCAGTACTGCGTCGGGCACAGCAGGAAGCGCGGACAGCCCAGGTGTTGGTGGATCTCGTTAGTAACTGATACCTGGAAATGCAACAAATTCAAGTTTAATTTTTAATTTCACATAATAAATCACTGGATTGGTATCCAGTAGGTATTATATATTACTACCTACTATATATAATAATAATAAGAAGGTATAACCTAACTGCCTCAGTGGCCGAACAGTTACCATGCTGGACTGCCACGCAGAGGCCCTGGGTTTGATTCCCGAGGCAGGAGAAATATTTGTATGGCCTACATTTATTTTTCTAGTGCATTTGGGTATATTTGTAGTTGTCTATGTGTGTGTCCGTGGCACCCGCGATGCCTAGTGCGGGGCTATGAGTGTGTGCGTTGTTATTATTATTATTATATCAGTCACTGACATTGGATTATTTAATATTTGCTTTCCCTTGCAAAAAACTCACTAAGCGAGGTTTGCGGTTGACAGAACATCCCAAGCGGCTACATTATAGTCGACAGGACATGCTTAAACGGTGCCAATCCACCAACAGCATCAGTAGCGCCTCATAGGGTGAGTAGATGAACAGGAGTTTCATCCGCATTGTGGCAGAATTTACATTCTCTACTCTCCTTCTGCCCAATATTTGACATGTGCTTGTCATATTATTATGGCTAGACTCCAAGCTCATTTGGAACTCTCACATAAATGAGTTGTGTCAAAAGATTTTTAAAGTACTCGTAGGTAGTTCTTGGGGCGTTCACCCTAAGTTTATGAGAAGGCTTATACATTTCTCTTCTAAGAAGCCGAATCGATTATGGAAGTTTTTTGTACGCCAACTCAGCGAGCTGTCACTTACGTAATCTAGACCTCTTACAAAATAAAGCCTTACGTATCTGTGGGGGTTTCATTAAAACTACACTGATACATGTAATGGAATGTGAGTTGGCCATACCACCTTTGGCGGTGCGTAGATACTGGTTGGCACATAAATATTGGTTAACCACGGTTATCTTTCACTAATAAAGTAAGTGTACAAAGCATTCAAGATCTTATCGCAGAATATAACATAAATAGTTACTGGAATAATAAGCTTTAACTGAAGCTTGTAACAATTTAGAAAATAGAGATGTATTCAAATATAACAAATTGGAAATGTTTTATATGGAAATTTGGATATCGTACATAGATATAAATAACTGCAAAAAAAAACAGGAGCAAAAAAGACAGGATACCCAACCTGACCACTCCCAAGGGACAATGTAACACGGTGTATTTAAATAAATGTGTAAATAGTTTTTTAACTCTTAAGTACAATGGCTATAGGATTTTTACTGATGGTTCCAAGGACATCAATGATGTTCGCGCGGCCTTTTATGACCCGCAACATAATGTATCATTCAAACTTAAATTGTGTATGCATAATGAGAGCGGAGTTATTTGCCATAGTGGAAGCATTATCCTTTGTTAGTTCTGTGGATTCAAACAAAATTTTTATTCTCACTGACTCTGGGGGTCGTATTCCAGAACTCTACTCAATACTCAAGTCAGCACATGGGAGTAGTGACAGATAAAATAGGAGACTTATTTATATACATATATACATTACGAGGCCGACATAAACGCCCGAACGTTTCAGGCCTCTTAAACCTAGATTTAAAAAAAAGCCAGAATGCCCTGTTAAAGCTCTAGTGAGCATTCTTATGCCATTCCTGTCCAATGACTGAGCTTGTGTACAGTGTTTGGCACTGTAGACAGATATCAGGGCTTTTGAATACTCAAGACCCTAGTTCTCTCATTTAGCAGAGTGAGCTTTGCCAGACTGTATGCTATCCCTAAGAACGGTTCAGGTCCAATAAAGGTTTCCCTAGCACCAGCCTTTGCCATTTCATCCGCTGACTCATTACCCTCAATGTGAGAGTAGCCTGGAACCCAGTGCAATACCACTATATTACTTTCCCCAAGAGTATTCAGTATATTTACACAGTTCTCTACAATCCTCGATGTTTGGGTGACTGAGGCTAGTGCACGTAGAGCCACTTGACTATCTGAGTTTATGTAAATATGATTGTCAACGTTGCCTCTCTTCAGGTTCAAACCCGCACAAGTAATTATGGCATACATTTCGGTCTGAAAGATAGAGGAGTGTCGTCCCATGTTCAGCTTGTAGCTGAGCCTGGCTCTCACGCCGTGTATACCACAGCCTACGTTGGGTCCTATCTTAGACCCATTATTTATTTATAACAACAATGATAAAAAATTAACAAACACAAAGTTATAAGTTACATATTCATAAGGTCTGCTGAATCCGTCTGTGGCGCGGTGGCCCCAGCATGGCAACAGTCACTGGTTTGTGTCAAAGGAATTTTTCTTTATGTCCGATTTTTGTATCGATAATGATACCACTATTAGGTAAATTGGAACATTTAACATAAAGAATGCTCTTATGGCATCAACTAAATTTTAAAAGTTTTCAATTACCTGTGCATGTGCAAAACTCTGAAAGGTTTGCTTATCAGCCTCACTCATCTCCAGCTCAATGTCATCGAATAGTAAAGCAAAACACGTACAGCCAAACTGAGACACCTGAAAATAGTTACAAATTTAGAATTGCCAAACATTTATACAGGGCTAACTTTCACTCTCACATGTTCACATTAGGGATATGTGCTACACCAGACTATACACAACATTTTTATCAAATCTTTGGTTAACAGTTATTCCTTATAGTGACAGTGTTTACATGTTTACATTTATAGTATGCAGTGTGTTGGACGGAAGCTTCATATTACAATAGAAAAACTTAATTATTTAGCCAATGAGAAAATCCTAAGTGTTCACACACATTGTTCAAGACTTTATAGTACCTGCTCTAGCTTTCGTTTAAGAGTAGTAATCTCTTTCTGGCTGCTATACGTAATATCTAGTCCTGGAGACAATGCATAGCAGAACTGAATCCCTTGTGCCTTTGCTGCAGTTATTAGAGACGTGAGATGTTCAGCCTCCTCTACTGTGTATAATTCTCTCCAGTATGCTCGGTGCTTGTAGTCGTCTTTTGGAGCGTACACATACATGTCCATACCCCATTTTTTAAGTCTGAAAATTTTTGAATATTCATTTAAAGTACTATTTTCCAAAATTGAAGCTTCAAGTAAATATCATAGAAATTGAGTATTAATTTTGTGAACTTGTGTTGACAATTGTAGAACTGTAATTAAGTTTACTGAATGTGAGAATGTTTCACCACCATGATTACCAATTCTTTTTGTGAAATTACTACTACTAGTTTACTTACTAGTTTGTTATAATTATTAATATAAATATCAAACACTTGGAAAAAATTCCTCCAATCGTGCATTCAAACCAATGTCTTCTACCAAACCGTACCAGAAGACCTTTCGATGTTTTCTATATACTTGTTGCAGATCTTTGTTTTGGTTTTCTAACATCTTTTTGCCAAAGCATCATCTGTGAGACATCTATTTCTTCACCCAGTCAAGTGTTCCTCCATTATTAATCTTTGTATTAACAATTGAGGAACTTCCGAACAAAAATCAATAAATCTGATAAATGATTATAATTTGGTCTTATCTTGCATTTGAAGAGTATTTTGATGGAGGATTTAGTGGATGCTGTTCAGGTGGATAAATAATTCATAGAAATATACAAAAACTACTGCCTGGCTTTAAAATAGAACAAGTCAAAATGCAACTTATGAGTTTTTGTTCTGATGCTCATCAGAACATAAAACAGGTTTGTTGGTTTTCACAATTGTTTCGCATTGGAAAAAAACTATGTTGCAAATACTTCGCTTCGTTTGTCCCATATATTTTGTTTGAAAAAACAAACATACACAATTTGGATCTCAAAAAATAGTTTAATTTAACATGTGCAATAATCGTGAAAATCTAAGAACTCAATTAAAATAGTTTAGAAAACTGAGAATTTTCTGAGCTACATAAGTTGCTACTGGCCGCTCACTCCCAATTCAATGCACAAGTGTGTAATTTATGGGTTCAAAGTTTGATAAGAGACAAAAAAAAATATCTATGCACTGACTGTTAAACTAAGAGAAAACATATAAGCAATGTTTGTTCATCGCTTATACGTTTTCTCTTTTTTGATTTTTGAATTGATTTGAATTGATAACTTTTGGAAACTGCGGTTTTGCGTATTAAACTTGCAGTTAATCTTATATTATTCAATATTGATAAAACCATGACATTATCAAATTAACTACTTAACAAGCACAACTCACTTTTGGAATAGATCTTTCCTTTGTTCTGTCGTCCACGGGCGGCCGTAGAAGCCTGCAATAGAACAGCCTAGGTCATTCACTCTGTCTTAAACTTAGACATAACCGTCATACACGTAAATATAATACATCATCTCTTTACATGTGTTTTCACTGAAAAAAATTGTTTACTACTTTCTTACCCTCAACAACACCGCAGATGAAGTCCTTCCTCTTAGAACTAGACTCATCCGGTGAACTTTCAGTCATTTTTACCAGGAATTTAACGATTTGTTACACAAAAGTGAAGTTGGTAAGATGTAATCTCTTTCGAGAGACGCACAGGCGTAACTACGCGTGAGGCTCTAAGTCACTGATGGATAGTGGCAATATAAATAACTGTATTAACGATTTAAAAAGTTTTGAGCACCGTTTGACCTGTTTCAGGCGATAATCATGAAATTACTGTATTACCCAAATGAAACTGTTACGGAGAAATTATGATGTGTCAAACGTTAAGGTATTTTACATGCTCATTTTAAGCAGAAATTAAAAACCTATGAAAGAAATTTATAAACCCAAAAAATCCGTATGTTTAGAATAGTTACAGTAAAACTAAAAGGCACATTTTTTTAAGCTCATACTTAAAATTTACAAAATATGGAATTTTCCAACTGCAATGACAAGATAAACACGAATCGTGATCTGTGTACTAAAAAGTGCCTGTTAGGGAAGCTCGCTTAGTATGAACAATAATAGTGCTATTTAAGATGATAAAAGAGAAAAGCGTTATCTGAGCTTTATAAATCTGCCTCTTTATAACGTATCAGTGCTGACTTTAGCTTGGTTTTACGAATTCAAAATAATAATAATAAATAATACACCAATTTTTTCATTAATACTTTTGACTTTTTGTAAATACTTTATTTTTTATTATTAATTATTACGGTATTATAGTTGATTCATTTAAATTGTTTTGTTGTAATTTTAAGTCTATAGCCTTGTAGCCAAAGCTCAATAGGTTAAAGAAAAATACATTAGTTTTAGCGCGAACCTTAATTATTTATTATTTTATTTTATTTATTTATTTAGGCACATGAACAGATAATACATTATTACATTTTACAGATTAATTATATTCTAAGTCATGGTCCGATGTTATTACCCACTACAGATATGCACAACATTGGCTATAAGCAATAACAATATTCACTTAACACTAACGCAGGCTACTAACATCGAAAATTATAAAATGAAATAAAAAATTTGATG